TATACGTACTAAAGAAAGTTTAATCAAAAAAGAACTTGCATGTGATATTTTTTTTACACTTACGAGATTATCTTTCTCTCACTTGGTTTCTCTCTCCATAATCTTTCACTTGGTTTCTCTCTCCATAACCTTTCTCTCACTTGGTTTCTAGCAATCAATTTTCCTGAATGACCGGCAAAGAAAACGGAAATTGAAAAAAAAAAAAGAAAAAATTACCAAATATGATACTTAGAATTAAGGAATTTTTGAATTCATAAATTTAAACGGAGTTGTCTGTTTTTCCACATCTTAAGTTCCAAAAAAAAATCGTTCATCATACTAAAAAAAATAAAGCTCCGATCAAGAATGGAAAAGAACAAATTGTTCGTCACGAAATCTCATATGTTAAGATATACTGTATATATACATTAGATAAACATGAAAAGAACAAATTGTTCCTCACGAAATCTCATATGTTAAAATATACTGTATATATACATTAGATAAACATGATCTGACAGTTCTCTAATATTAATCCGTATAATTATACAAAAGATAAACAACATATAAACAACACTGAAACGAGATAAAACATAATTCATAAATCTCATATGTTTAGATATACTGTATATATACATTAGATAAACATGATATGAGAGTTCTCTAATATTAACCGTATAGTTATACAAAAGATAAACAACATATATAACAACATTGAAACGAGATAAAACATAATACAACATAATACATAATTCTAAATAATTCTAAATGACTGCAAAATCCAAAACGAATGTAGTTATACATAAGGTAAACAACATATGTTTACTTTACATCACATCATCTTCATCAGTAGAGAAGTCCGCCGCCAACTGATTGTCTGCTTCGTCTTCATCAAAGAAGACTTGTCGATGAAGATTCAAGCATCTTGCTTTTACCCTTGTTCGCAATATTCCTTTTCTTCTTTATGGTGTCTTTATGACCATCTGAAATGCGTGAAACTTCGATTGGTGGAAGCAAGGGCGAAACGCGCTTGTCAATGGGGGATCTCGGCGGTGGAAGCGCGTGGCCTTGAAGCTCTCGTATATGGCTGATCGGAGGGGTTCGGGTCTGAGGTTTCCTCGACAAGGGCTTGTTGCGAGGACGCATGTGAAAGCGGCGGATAGGAGCTGCTTTGCGAGGGCGAGATGTTGAACGGCGGACAGATCGCGGCGGGTCTACTAGGAGTGACCGATTTTTTCTTTTTTTTTTTTTTTATACGCTGCTCAATGGTGAAAATTAAGAACAAAGAAAGGAGAAAATTTTTGCGCGAGAAAAAGATGAACGAGGGAGAAAAAAAATCCTTCGGCCTGAGTATATGAAGGAGAGAGAAAGACGTGCGTTGGACTGCTTCTTGAGGAAGAAGATAACGTGGTTATGTCGTCTGCTTGAGGGAGACCTCTTCTCACGTTTCAAAAAATATAATTAATCCCACTTGATGGTTAATTAGGCCATATATAACCGTCTGACCTATTAATAATCTTTTAATTATTAAAAACGTAATTTTGATGAAAATTTTGGGAGATCGTAATCGTGATATTATTTAGACAATGAATTGTAAAGGGAGTAAATTTCTCTA